TTAAATACATGCCCCACTAAAATTAACAGGTAGCACATTGCTTAAAATTTATAACAGAATAGGAATACGTATTTGTTTGCTAGAAGCTAGGTCAAAAGCAATTTTTAAAGCTGATTTGGAATCTTGGATTGCCTACTGATAACTAATTGTTAAAACTTCTCTCTCTATACAGACATGAAAACATGCACACATATATATATAATATATATACATATATTATATATACATATTAGAATAGAATAACGGAGTTGGAAGGGACCTTGAAGTCTTCTTAATATTCATACATATTAATTGTATGTGTGTACTTATGTGTGTATACATATTATATATTATGTGTGTGCATGTATGTGTATATATGTATGCATATGTGTATGTGTATATCTATAAACACCCACACACACATATGGTTGAAATATTAACTATACACACATACATACCCGTGAAAACTTACATAAACATAAACATATATATATATATATATATATGTATGTATGTATGTATGTATGTATGTATGTATGTATGTATGTATAACATAATTATGTTATGTGTCTAACATAATTCATTTAGTTTTTATTTTAATTAATAAGTTCAAATTGAAATTGTCCTGCCATGGGTCACCGACATTTAAGTCTTCATGCTGTGTTTTAAATTGTAATTCAAATTAAGAGAGCTAGAGCAAATCCAATGAATACTGTCAAGACTTAGGTTTATTAGCAAGATAATTGGCAACTATTTATATTTTTGAGGGAGGGCTTTCATTATAATTACATTAAGGTAAGGGCTTCTTTCTGAACAAGCATACAATATCAATGCACACATTTGAGAAAATCTGGGTGATGCACAACTCTGACATTAAGGAGTATGTTATAAAGAAATCAAAATATTAACTTTCTTTCAGCAATAGAAATGATGATCCTATATTCATAACTATTTTGAGATAGTTTCCTAATATGTTTGAACTGAAGGATCGTATTCAAAAACAGTTGGTCTCAGTTGTTTAATTAAGCACAAATAAGAAGTAATGAAAATCCCTGAGTGATAAATTAATGAATGAATTAATGTCAGTTATTGGTCATGGTACATCACAACAATAATCAGAATAAAAACAATATCATGTGTCGCCCACAATTAATCTATAGATACAAATTGAAATTATCTGATGCATATCTCCTTCGTTGGTTACTACTGACAGCATAACATGACCCTAGAGCTTGCCCTGGACCTCATTCCAGTTTGTTCTTACAACTTACAACTTTTCCCAGACAAAACCTACAGATCTGCTATTTCTTGGTAATGCTTCCTTCAAGTCCTAACCAGCTTCATCCCTGCTTAAATTTTTCAAGATCAGCTGAAGTCCACCACCTGCTGTGATACACAAAGATACAAAAGAAAACAGGAAGCAGTGCAGTACTGAACATGGACCAATGCAAGATTCAACTCTGGTTGCTTATTTCATGCTTTCTGAGCTCATGAGTCAACTACCATGTAGTTCCTCTACTTGTCTAAATTGAAGTAATTAATTGGAAACTGCCAAATTGGACCGGATACCAGAGAATATTGGCCACTTATTATGGAAGGGAAAAGTAATCCTTTCATTTGGGGTTGTTGTTGTTGTTTTTTAACCTGCAGCTGGGAAGACTGGTTGAAACAACTTTTTTCCCCAAGATAAACAAAGTTTATTCCAAGTTGAACTCTGTTCTGGATGAGATTATGGACACATCTGTATACAGTTCTCAACGTACAGCCACAATTGAGCCCAACATTTCTGTTGCTAAATGAGACAGTTGTTAAATGAGTTTTGCCCCATTTTATGACCTTTCTTGACACAATTATTAAGGGAATCACTGCAGTTAGGAACACAGCTGTGAAGTGAATCTGGTTTTCCCATTGACTTTGCTGATCAGAAGGTTGCAAAAGGTGATCACACGATCCCGGGACACTGGAACCATCATAAATATGAGTCAGTTGCCAAGTGTGTGAATTTGGATCACCTGACCATGGAAGGATGCTGCAACAGTTCTTCTGATTGAAAAGTGGTCATCAGTCACTTTTTTTCAGTACTGTTGTAATTTCAGACAGTCACTAAATGAACTGATGTAAATTAAGGAATACCTGTACTTCCCATGATAAAAGTATAGAACTGACTTGCTGTTGAGGGGTTTGTGGTGCCCTCTGAGCTTGGTTGTCTTCTTGCAGACATTTCATTACCCAAATCTTATGTCATCCTCCTTCTTTTACTTGTTCTTTCATAGTCTAGCCCAGAGGTCAGCAACCTGTGGCTCTGGAGCCACATGTGGCTCTTTCACTCCTCCACTGCGGCTCCCTGTCACTCAAAATATGCATCACAAATGCCAATGTGCGACACCTGCCAGCACGTGATTTATTGACCTATTTTTCAACCCCCAGTAGGCCAACCATAGAAAAATTCAAGAAAAGAAAAGTTTCAGAAGAAAACAGAACATTTAATTCAATTGCATATGCTAGTTTTGTGGCCGCTCAAGAAATAGTCAGGCACGGGAAAGATTTTGTGGCTCCCTGTGCTTTCTTTTCTGTGGGAAATAGGTCCAAATGGCTCTTCAAGTGTTTAAGATTGCAGACCCCTGGTATCTCTAGGGGGAGCTTCATCCAAATATTAGCCAGACCCAATATTGCTTAGTTCACAAAACTAATCAGAGGCTATTACCTGGCATAAATCAGAAAGCTGAGGCTGGAAGGGATCTTGGAGGTCTTCTAGTCCAACCCCTGCCCAAGACAGGAGACTTTATATCATTCGGGTTGTCTGGTCTACTTTTGAAAACCTCCCGTGATGGAGCATCCACAATTTCTGGAGGAAAGTCATTTTGCTGATTAACTGTTCTCACTGTTATGAAATTTCTCCTGAGTTTTAGGTGTTGAGATGCTATCAATATTCCCACTCAAACGGCCTACAAATTTATAACTGAAAAATGTCGATAATATTGTTTATCCTTATGCTTATAAAAAAAATCAATACAATGATACACATGCTGCCTCTGCACTGCCCACATGGTTTTAAATTTATCTTCTTAAATTTGTGTTCCTCATTTACACTCCACAGCTGATGCCAAATCATCAGAAAGGAGTGAAAGAATTAATTGCTGAGGAAGCCAACCACATTGTAGAATCTGCGTGGAAGTTCCAACACTTAGATTATTATCTACATTTATAGCAGTGTTTCATAATGTTGGCAGGTTGAAGATGTGTGGACTTCAAGTCTCAGGATTGTCCAGCCATCAAAGTGCCCTTGAAGTGATGTCCCGGTGCCTGGAGGCCGTGCGAGTCTGGCTGGGGAGGAACAGGCTTCGACTCAACCCTTCCAAGACCGAGTGGCTGTGGATGCCGGCGTCCCGATATAGCCAGCTGGTGCCATCTCTGGCTATTGGGGGCGAATCATTGGCCCCCACGGAGAGGGCTTGCAACTTGGGCGTCCTCCTGGATGCACAGCTGTCTTTAGAAGAGCATAGGACAGCCGTGGCCAGGGGGGCTTTTTATCAGGTTTGCCTGATATGCCAGTTGTGCCCCTTTCTGGATCAGGACTCCCTATGCACGGTCACTCATGCCCTCGTCACCTCTCGCCTGGACTACTGCAATGCTCTCTACATGGGGCTCCCCTTGAGGAGCACTCGGAAGCTCCAGCTGGTCCAGAATGCGGCCGTGCGGGTAATTATGGGGGTGACATGGCGCTCCCATGTGACACCTTGCCTGTGCGAGCTGCACTAGCTTCCGGTGGTCTTCCGGGTGCGCTTCAAGATATTGGTTCTCACCTTTAATGTGCTCCATGACTTAGGGCCCGGTTATTTGCGAGACCACCTTCTGCCACCGATAACCTCCCACCAGCCAACTCGGTCCCACAGAGAGGGCCTCCTTAGGGTGTCGTTGGTCAAGCAATGTCTACTGTTTTTTAGCATAAAACATAAAATACATCTTTTTAGAGCAGGGATTTGATCCGGCTTAAAATAAGTACAATTATTCACATTTCCTCAATCAATTTTGTTCCAAATTTTAAAATCTTTAAGAAGAAAAAATAATAAAAAAAAGACAAAATTCTTATTCTAAACATTTATCATTCTACTATAACGCCCAAAATTCTAAACAATAAACACCGTTCTAAATCTTTATCATTTTAACAATTAATATTTCATATATATTCCTCAGTCCTAAAACCTATTGCCTCAAAACTATATTTTATCTCTCTTAAATGACAACAGATATCCAATTCTTGACAAAAAATATTTTCCTCCTCTCTTAAAATCATTTTGAAATACATCAAAGTTTCTTTCTATATTTTATTACTTCCAAAATATTTTACTTTAATACTTCAAATTTATTCTCAAATTCTATTAGACCAGCTGTTTAGCTGATTCATAGTTTAAATATCTATTTCCCAGTTATAATTTCCAATATTCCTTTCTCTATTTATTTAACTGGTTCACAGTTCAATTACTATTCTCTAATAATGTCTCTTCCACTTCCTCCTAGGTTTATTTTTAAGCTGGTTTGCATCTTAATCAGCTGCTTTCCAGCAATACTTCCTCTACTCCTTACCTTAATAATTTTGGCTGGTTCACAGTATAATTTTAACTGCATACCAACCTTCTATAACTTGTCATCATTTTTGTTATCCTGTAAGAAAAGGATGACAAAGAAAAGGAGCTTTAGTTTTAAATTGGCTGCACGTGAGATTAAAATTATGTCCAGATAAATCTGTGCTTCCATGATCTGGCGGTAGAAGTTCTATTTTTATTTTTTGTAGATTTTAATTCAGATAGACAACCAATACCATCTCAACATTTTTTTAAAAAATCACTGTTTCCAGGGCTTGACAAAACTCTGCTTCTAACCATAACAAGCCACCCCTAGGTAGTACATCTGATGCTATTTGCATGAACCCAGTGGTTTGATTCCCCACAAGGCAGTTCTTTGTGATGTAAACAATCCCTGAAGGGCAATGGAACTTTCCAACTATATACTGGTTTACACTCTTCATGCTGAGAATTTCATCTGGTTGATAAAACAAGACCACAGGGAACAGGCATAAACTCCCATAGTGATATATGACAATTGGCTTTGTACAATGTCTAAGGTAATTTCGCTGTCAATTCCTCCTGTACAACCTATTAGTCATCTTATTTTTTCTAATTGTTGTCCTGTTAAAAAGCAGATTTCATACTTTGCAACCATGGGCAGTATTTATTTAGATACTAGGAGGTATATTTTCTGTGGATTTCTATCTTTATCATTCTCAACCTTTCTAGTTTCCACAAAGAGCATTAGCATTCTTCTTATGGTTAACCTCAGTAACTTTAAGATCTGTGGGTTTCAACTCCCAGAATTCCCCCAGCTAGCATGCTGGGATCAGGGGTGGGTTCTACTTACCTTTACTACCAGTTCACAACGGGAGCGAGCGCTTCTGCGCAGATTGTCCATTATGATGTCCGGGCGGGTGGGCAGAGTGTCCCACCGCTTTTACTACCAGACAGAACCAGGAACAACCCACCACTGGCTGGGGACTGGACTACAAGACCTCCAAGGTCCGTTCCAGCTCTATTCTGATTCTGATTCTAATTCTAAGTCAGAAAAATAGTTTATTTCAGAGTAGTGAGCTAGCACATAGTAGTGTATATAGCACGTATAACCTTACACACAAGCCATAATCACACAGCAATGTGGGCCAAAAACTGGAAACCCATCACTAAAAATGAAGAAGCCTTTCTTGCATAAGCAATTCAGTTTGTCACGGAAGCAAAACGGACAGTCTCTTTGTGCTTTTTAATTGTTTTAAATGAAGAGAAAAAAATGCATTTCCCCTCTTTATTTCCTTCAGAAGAGATGACAAGTTTTATTTTAATCTTTCCAAAGCATTTTAAGGTCCCATTAGCATTCCCACGAGATTTCAAGATGAAGTAGAGGCAGGCTCATTGTATTGAGTTACCACATCTGGAATTTCATCCACCCACAGGTAGCAGCAACTGCCAACAGCAGAACTGGGAGAACAGCCTGGAATCCAATCTCAATTAAAGCTACACATCATCCTCAACTGGCGACTCCTGGGAGGCCTCTCTCTTCTGTATCTGTTCTGCAAAACCACCAAATGCCTCCAGCTGACAGCTTTTCAAAATAGTTACTTTTGGCATCACTTCTATGGGCACAATATGTCCTGGATAATTTATTTCATCTTACGTGTTAGGCTCTTTTCTAATTAAATCTTTTGCTTCATGAAAGGGTAGCTTTCCCTGCTGATGTGCCGGCGATAGACCAGCTTCAGTGAGGTGGGAGGAAGGGGGCTCCATTTTGAAGATTTGATTCGAAATGGAGTTAAGAGAATGACCCCTTTGAACGGAGTCTTCAAATCAAAGTTGTCAATATTGAATGGCTTCAAATTGATTTGGCAAGGGGGGAAGGTTAATGTGCACATTTTTTTTTATTTTTTTTTTTAGTGAAATTCAAAAGTGACTGAATCACCTCAGACCTTTGATAATTCAAACCAGATATTGGGTGATTTGCACATCTGAATGTTGGAACAACACAAACAGTGGTGGGATTCAAGTAATTTATCAACTGGTTCTCTGCCCTAATGATTTCTTCCAACAACCAATTTGCCAAACTCCTCAGAAACTTAACAACCAGTTCTCCAGAAGTGGTGTGGACTGGCTGAATCCCACCACTGAACACAAAGGATACCTGTGCAATTTGACTGAAATTTGCATAGTAGACCAATTTCAGGTTCTATTTATTTATTTATTTATTTATTTATTTATTTATTTATTTATTTTGTTTTTGTTTGTTTGTTTGTTTGTTTGTTTTTGTTTGTTTGTTTTATTTATTTATTTATTTATTTATTTATTTATTTATTTATTTATTTATAAATTTATACCAGTTATTTACCAAATCATAGCTGTTTACATTCGAAGAACTTCGGCAATGTATTTGCTGATGTGATTCACTTTCCATCGGTAGGTCCTGAAAAGCTTATGTAGCAGGGAGAACAATGCTCACATTAGAATCATGTATCCAATGTTCCAGCTGAAGTTGATTTGTAAGTGCATCCTTGAAGATTAAAGACTGCCAGCTCTTTATACATATACATATGGTATTCATGTATGTGTATATATATATAATAGTATATGTACACCATGGTGTTTTTTTTTTTTTGAAAGATTATATTCTATTGTGTTCTAGTAGATGTTCCAACACATTCAGGCATTACAATTTCAAGCAGAGGGAGGGATGAAGAAATCCTGTAGCATAATAAAATGCAGAGGAATGAAAGATGAAATGAAATGGCTCTAAAGTCTCTCCTGGGAAGGCGAAAATATAAAAAGTTTCAGAAAATAAAAAAAAGAGGGAGGTAGAGGAAACAGGGAATCACCTACAAGTATATTATTGAGTGCCTTGATAGCAACATTGGAGGTAAATGAATATTGACCTTGACATTCCCACATTGATATTGTGGGAACTACCCTGAAGTAGAAGAGTTTTGACCACCTTGCCAAGATGCTGGGATTTTGGCAGCTGCTCAAGGAAATCGGATGCATCCAGATGGCTTGAGAATAACTTAAATTATTGTCCATAATGACTCTGTTTGTTCTGTGAGATCATCAAATGAGGTCCTGCTTAAAATCCCATGAATAGTTGAGGTAAGGGACACAGGTCAGAAGACAGATTCAGCTAAGGCTCTTATCTCCCCCTAGAGATTTGTTTGACGTTGCACTTCTGGCCTTCCAGAAACATACATTTCTAACCGGACTTTTGACAATTTTAATACCTAGTGGAGATGTGGGTCGCCATCTGTTTTTCATTTTGGGTTGTATTATTAGATGGAGTTTCATGTTGTGAGATGGCATTTTGAGTCTTGAACACCCTTCTGAGTCTTTTGATTGTGTTACAATTGACATAAATGAATAATGGCAGACGTGTTGTCACGTGCTCTAGGGCCATCTGAAAAATCAGCTGTGCACGGGCAGCGCAGTGAAACAGCGGCATACCTTGTTTTTCAATTTCTACCCATGGTTTACAGCATCTCTATCTGCTATTTTGTGTTATTTTGGGATGGGCCTGTGACAGGTCAAAAAGCCAGGGCCTGGCTACATCAGAAAAGAATTGCTTCACTCTGATATTTTATACCTGTCTGTAGTGGTCAGGGGGACCAGTTTGAGTGCCTGTTTTATGAACAAGTCAACACAAATGAAGTATTGAGGAAGAAATGTTCACTATGCTTCTTGTCATCAGAAAGTGTTCCACAGGAGAGTTGCTGAGGCTCATTGGAATACAAATAATGGATTTTAAAGCAATCAGCCCATGAGAATACAATGATGTACTTGTGTGGGTAAATCTGTTTTCAAATTGAATGAATTTGTGTCTATTATAGCTATTAGGATCCCACAGTTTTGTTTGTTTTTTTTCTTTTCTTATTTGGGGGAAGAACAAGAGACTTCAAAAAATTAAAATGTTTTCTCTTTTGGTTGAAATTGCATAAAGGCCTCCTCTTTCTCCTCCTTCTTAGTTTTTAACCATAATTTTCTAAACTCAGTTTAAACAGTCTCAAGAACAGTTCCTGATAAAGATATTTTAGGAATTTTAGGTATTCCTGAGACAGCCACTCGCTATATATCACACAACACATTTCAGGATTTTTGCACCCTAATAAAAAAAACTCATTGATCTGAGAAAGGCCCTGTTTATTACAACAGGCTTTGTATGAGGCTCTAAAAACTTCATTGAGGATTTCAGGGAACTTTGCCAGAAGTATAAAGACTTATGGAAATTGATTAGCTCTGAAGGAGAGGAAATTGAAGACATGATTGACATTGATTTGCTAGGCTTTGCTTCCTGCCTTAATGGTCAAGGTTTGCCGGAATCATCAAGAGTTAAAAAGCGAAGAAAGGTTTTGTAAAGCTTGTAATAAATTGCGTTTTTAGGTACACTTGTGAAAAGAGTTAGATAACAGCTGCTGCACGTTTGCTACATAATCTATTAAATTGTGTATAGTAGTCAAAACTAGCATATGGGTTCAAAGACACCCCCATTCTCAGTTATCTTTCTTTTCTTCATAATGTTTAGCAAAATAAAATGGAAATTATAGTGAAGTCTGACTGAAAGTTTGAAGTCTATAGAACTCCATATCTATTGGAGAATCTCAATCATCCAGGTCATGGTTGTCCCAAAGGTGCTTTTTCAAAAGGCAAATGGATTTTCTTGGTTTTTTTTTTTCCTTTGAATATTTCACTTCTCATCCAAGAAGCTTCTTCAGTTCAAGCGAAATATTTTCAAAGAAAAAACCAAGAAAATCCAGTTGCCTTTTGGAAAAAGCACCTTTGGATATAGAGGTCCATGTTTTACAAACGATATAGTAATGATACTTATCTCCACTGGTCTGCACTAAGGAATCAGTCTGTGATGATTCTAATGGATAATTAAATTTCTCTCAATGTTATGCACACTGAAAAAAAAATATTTTAAGTCTATTAAAAGATAAATTCATAAGAGTAAATTGCATAAAAATCATCGATGAAGGCCAAAGAGTCAAACTTTGTTTTGAGTCAACACAATTTCTCTCTCCACACTTTTACTTTGACAATAGTTATAAAATGTTTTGACATTGCCTTCTTCCAATATCATTTTAGGAACTGAAGTCTAGCAGAAAACCCTGTGATTCCCTGTCCTATCTAACTGCTAACCAGGTTTAATCTACTTAGCTTTTTTGATCAGCAAAGTCCAGCGACTTGATCTCTGCTTTGGAAAGCCTATCATGCAAAAACAGCCACACCTGTTATAACATTTGAAAAACTTATTTCTGAAATGTAGCTTCATCCTTGGCCAAGAGGACCACAGCATATCTGTATGTAATACTCAGAAGCACTTTTATCAAATATTTAATATGAAACAATAAAATGGTCTTTTTCAATTTATTTATTAGTTAGATCTGTATCACACTTTTTCTTTAACGGACAGCCTTAGCACAGATTTATGTTGATTTGTGTCAGACTAACACTCTGTGAAATAGACTTGTCAAATCTGGGTGTTTTCATATTATTTGTTTCTTCAGACAGATAAATTTTTACTAACTTTTAATAGAACAACCACATTAAAGTACTGTTTTTCTTTGCCGCATAATTTTTGGGGGCTCATCAAATACTTCCTTTTTATATTAGAATAGTAGGATGCAACCTATACATCCCAGACCATGTTAATGCAACTTCCTTTGTCTTCTTTCAAGGAGCATAATACAGATGCATACAGCAGTTTTGTGTGGTTGAGCCATGCTGACTTGATTAGGATTTTGCACTTGGTATTTAAACAGACATTTAAAAAAAAAAACAGTCCTTTAATTTATGGCACAAAACATTTGCACTGATTTTTTTTAAAATAAAAATCATTTTAATATTTACCCAGTAGCTTTTTAGTAAGGCGTTTCAAGCTAATATATATATATATATATATATATAGAGGAAAACCACAATAGATGACATGAAGATGTATGGTGATTTCCCATCTTACTTGGGCTAATTTTCTAAGGGTGGATGGATCATGCACACACATTACAGAGCATTACAGAGACAGGAGTATGGCAAGTCAACAGAGATTTCACATAGAGCTAACAGTAGTAAAGCAAACAATGGATCAGTTTTCCAGCCCCAAGTTTGAATAAACCACAGGACTGGAAACATGCAGGTTCTTCCCCAAATTTGCTACATGTGATTCACTTAGAGGAAGCTGAACTTTGGAATTTCTGGAACACAAAAGCTGGGAACTAAGGGTCAAAGCCATTGTTTTGTATGTGCTGCTCCATATTCCATCTTGCTTTAATTAATCACAGGCAGGCTAGGAGAGGTGTTCGAGGAAGGAAATCCTGCTAGGCAGCATTACATCTTGCAAGGGAAGCTTGTGTTCTGATTTTCTACCCATCTAGCTCAGTGAAGGTATAAAACACAGCACATACATGCACACAATAGTTTGAATATGTTTTTGAGCATTCCGGCATGTTTTTGAGTGTGCAAGTGTGGGTGTCACTTCTACATAACTTCCATGCATTGTATATCTGATTAAAATTGATTTTATTTTATTTTTTTACAGGAAATCTCCTTTGGAAATAGGGCACTTTTGTTTCCAATATTTCCAGAAGGAACCACCTAATGAACTGGGGATCAAGAGAAATGCTGCAGGTAAAGCTTTATTAAAAATTAAAAATGAATATGGAAGATGAATATGTTACAGATGTTAT